TACAAAAAATAAATTAAATAAGCATTACAAAATGATTTTTTTTAATCACTTGTCACATTGTATAACCAGCAATTTATAATAGAATTTGGATTATTTAGAAATGAAATTGTGAATAAAAATGTGAAAATGTTGACAAATTATGGTAATATTAAACTTTTCGAATAGAAAAATACGTTAGATATAGGCCTATATATATATAAATGTGTTTATACAATGTGATTATTAGTAAAAAATAAATGGAATAAAATAAGTACATTTTCTGTTGAAAAATCCTATAATCTACTTACTTCTTTGACACATGTCAAAAAGTAAAAGTGATAATATATCATATACTCAAAAAGTTGGAAATAAATATAATAAAAAGTTATTATTTTACACTTAAAAGTATTTTAAGATTGAATTCTTATATTAAAAATTATGTTTTCTAAGTCAAATTAACTATTAATGCATATATATATATATATATTAATAACTTGTTACATTATTTAAAACTTAATGTATTATCATATAAAATTTTATATAAGTTCAAAGGTTATGAAAGTATTTAAGTTAACAAAATTTCAAATTTGTCGATTTACAATTGGTCTTAATATTAAATGTAATTTGCTTGCTAGCTGGTAGCATTATAATTTTTTTTTTCTATCAAAAGATTATTGTCTTTAGATAGTTATTCTGACAGCTGAATCATTTTCTTCCATCCATATTTCATAAACAATAAATTTTTTTAATGTCTCTACAATAAGGTTAGTGGCACGACAAGACTTTCATCTTCACACCATTGTGTGTGCAAGAGGGTTATTTTTCTCGGCTAAATAACCTTGATTCATTATCATAAAAGGTTCCGCCTTGTTAATTAAGGAGTTAGAAAATGTCTTACTTACTGTAATTGCATAAGATTATCCTGATAAAGTATCACTTTTACATTCTATAGTTTCAACTTAATGCCAAAGCAATTTGACTTAAAAGTTAGCTTATTTATATATTTGTAATACAAAAAAAGAAAACTTTAAAATACTTTCTTGTACTTTTTTTCTATTAGAATTTTACACACTAAAATCATTTGTAACCATTTAGGTAATGACAATTTTTATTAGATCAGTGAACTTATTAATTGATGAAAAATGTGAGATTCCTAAATGCCAGCAATCTAATTAAAATAATGATTAGTGAAAACTGTATTGTATTCAGAAGATTAATTGTTCTAATTCATCTTCCTTAAAAAAATGATAAATTCTTTTAATTATAAGGTGAAGCTCCTTTGATCAAATTATCAAAGCATGAACATGCAGGGTAGTTAATGAATGCAGGAGTTGTTCAACCATTCAAACAATTGAGACTTTTATTCGATACATATTGCATCTTAAATATTAAATATAAAAAAAAAAATTGAAAACATTATAATTGTAGTAGTTTTTATGAGTGTCTTTAATTAGATATTGGAATTAAGAAGAAGATTTTAAAAAATCTCATTGATGATTAGATGAAATAATCAACACCAGTGTGATTCCTAGAAACCTATAGGCATTGATCTGTAATGTGAGAGAGATCCTGATTTGAACTGGATCCATATAGTTTATATTTCCAAATGAAAGAATTCTAAATTGAAGTGTTATACCTCATCAGTCTAGAAGCACCCATAAGGAATAGAAATTGAAATTGGCTGTGTATCTCTTTCACAATGGTGCTTTGCATCAACAAACTAACATTTCGTAATGACATCAAATTGACTCAAAATATACATTACTCTAACAAAAAAGAATTAGCCTTAAATGTCTAAATAGATTCTACTAAATTAAAAAGAAATTATAACAAGTTATAAAGAATTTTTAGACAAATTTACCTGAAGTTCTTTGCTGTATAATGTTAAATAATTTGACTAATCTGTTGCTTCTGTAGAAGCGGAAAAGAAATGAAAAGGAGTTAATGAAATAAAAGTATTCAACTATAAATTCAAAATAATGAAAAATGGCAGAGTAGTATTTAACTATTTAATGATGCGATAAATGAACTGAGCGGAACTGGTATGTGTACAGAAGACCCATTAAAGAACTCATAAGGGTAAATGAAACGAAGGTTGAAGGTCAGATTCGAAGCACGACAAAAGTAGATGAGGAACTACTACTTTCTTTATTAACTTTCCTGTACGTGCAGTTAAAGTATCCGACATTTCTCAACAACTTTTCAGAATAATTAAACAACTTTCATCAAGTCGAAATTGTTAAAGAAGATGGATTTATCAGGAAACAAACGCCCATCTTATCTCATTGCAATATCTGTTAGATAAGGATGTTAAAAATCTTCATTTTTAAATGAATTCGTGTCGTTTTTCATTATCTAATATCCATTTGATCATCATTTTATTCAGAAATAATAAACTTGTTAGTATAGGCTTCATGTCATATCCAAATTTTCTCAACGAAACCTGTCATTATAGCCCGAAGTAATAAATAATTGAACATTTTAATAACTTGAAGAAAAATTCTCGATAAAGTAATAAAAACTATACAATAAAACAGCTGCGGATTCATAATCTCGGATGTTTTGGCGGCATTGTTTAAACGAAATATCGAATGAAAAAAATAAAATAAAATTGCCTGGAAAAAAAAGAATTGGCATTTTTCTTCTCTGAAAAGCATCGAAAGGTGCAATTCAGTTCTTACGTAGCATTTAACTTCATCGCTCCAGAAACGGATGGTTAGTTATTCTTTTTCTCAGATCGTTAATTTCTCTTAAAAAGCACAACTCATTCACGGCTCAGCAAACATCGGACACAAAATTTCGGGTCTCTGACCTATGGGTGGAGGGTGATTCGCGTGCCAAAGTCGTTTCGATTGCATCACGACTTCTCAGTTGTACAGTACGTAATTTTACAAACAATGCATACAATTGTATAATTTAATTAGCATTTTAATCTATGAATGGAGAAGATCGTAATGCTTCTACCTAATGTAATAAAATACTCTTTTTTAAATTAAAACAATATAAATGGGATTAGTTGAGTCCCATTCAATAATTCGTAGAAAGAAAATTTATTAAATTTTTAATTAGGTATAATTATAATTATATATATATTTTTTCTTGTAAATATGCTTTTTAAATAATTATTTTTCATAATATAATTTCTAAAAGTTTCTATTCTTCAAGAGCTTGTAGTCTTTTGTGGAAGATTAAGACCAATAAGTTTACGTAACGAAATTGTTAATCGTAGTTTTAAATGTTTTCCTAATGAAAATTTCAGTGTATTTAAAAAAGGTATTTTTTCTTAAGTGTTCATTTGTCATACAATAGTGGAATGCAAAGAACACCTCGGGCTTTCTCCCTCTCTCTCTCTCTCTCTCCCTTTCTCTCTCATTCATCACTGCAGGAATAGTTTTCCTCTTTCGTTTTTGACCTTAACCTCTTTCTCTTGGACATTGAACCTTTCACGATGCTAATTAATGAAAACGACGTAATATAATTTAGTAATGGAATATAAATGAAGTTACACAAGTTCTTGAGAAAATTTTCGATCCTCCTTCTTCCTACAAAAATGATATTTGCATATGTAATTACACACAATGAATCATTACGGGGCCTCCAAATTAATCTCTTCTCGGATAATTCTGCATAAAAAAAAAGAAGGTTATTCGGAGAAAGTCACAGTTGCTTATTCACGAAGTGTACTTAATCACTAGTCACGAAAAAAAAAAGGTTTAATTTCTGAGAACCAATCGCTTGTTTATGGTTTTTGAAATGACAAAATATTCAGGAAGCAACACGTTGGTATTTATTATAAAAAGTATAATTTTTATTACATAATTTTCAAGTTCAATATTCTAGTTTCCATTTATGAGAATTTCCGCATTCGATAAAGATTAGAATTAAGCTTTATGGCAAGTCGATGAGAGTATATATACCTTCATAACCACGAGTTTATAGACACATCGACCCTATAATCTCATAATAATGTGTGGGGATAAAACAAGTCTTCTCAGCTGACTATGAATCACATAGAGTCCTGTTTGGAGACGTTCGAATTTATTATAAAAAAAAAGTAATGCTTAAAAATACAATTAGTATTACTTTATGTACATAATTATGATCGGAATGAAAATAATACAATAAGTTGACTGACCCCTCCGTATAAGGAGCCTCTCGAAATTATTTTACCCTGTAATTTTCTGGACTTAGATTTTTCTTCTTCTTCTTCTTCTTCTTCTTCGGCATCTCCGAAAAGATAATTTCATTAAAAATGTTTTCTTTCATAAGAGCGAAAGTAATTTTCGATGAATACTTTTAGATTTCAACGCTGTGAAACTCACTAATAAAGCATTTGTATAATGCTTTTTGGTGATTTATCACTGAATATAACCTCTTTATATAGGCCTAATTTAAAGTATTTTTTATACTCCATTGGAAATTTAAGCTGTAGTCCTATTAATAAAACTGATTTTGATAATATTAACATATATAAAACATTGTATTAAAAATAAATATCCACATGAAAAATACAAAGAATTAAACACGATATAAAATAATTAATGCCTACTTGTTTCTCGAATTGTTTGAATGAGGGATTCTTACTTGCAGTGTATTATTTAAAATTTTAAAAAAAGTAAAACACACAATTCCTAGACAGGATTTAAACTGGTTTCCTTCTAAATTAAAATTGTACTCCATTAGATCATCGAATGTAGCACTTGAGTCATCAGGAGTTATTAGGCAATGCAAAATTCAGGTGCTTTTCATAAAACAAACTTTCTCCTATTCCTATGGTGTGGTTGACCTTTAAAGCTTACCACACCTTCTGTCACGTGATGATACCGCTTACTCTCGCTCCCTTGAAGTTCAGGGTTAAGCGGTGCATGAAGTGGGACAGAGAGTAGAAGAGATAACTCGTCTGACGACTGCGAGTAAAAGCGTTCAGGGGATTGAAATCAGTAGACATGTGTTCAACACATACTTAGGAGGCTCTTTTCCGGCTACATTTTATTTTATTGTACATATATATTAAGTTAGAGATGGATGAGGTCCTAGTGAGGATCGCAATCATTTTATCTTTATTCCTATCGGGAATTAATTGTCAAGGTAGGTATATTTTGAATAAAAAAAAATGTTATATTACGGTAACTTTAGGCATGATTAACTGTCCAAAACATTAACTCAAAGTTTATATCTTTGATTTCTTTATTATATTTTACTTTATATACAATGATATTGAATATCTACAACTTTCTATAGTTTAATATTTGTATGCATTATTTTTCAATTTATTGCAATAACTTATATAAATTTGTGTTTTCTACCAAATATTTTATTATATACAATTAAATTCTAATCCAATAATTCAAAAAAAGAAAAATATACATTATTATTATTATTATTATTATTATTATATATAATAGAATTATATATAAAATTAAAATAGAGTTATATCTTAAAAACTTGTGTATATATATATATATAATAATTAATGCTAAATCTATTGCATCTTCTATAATATTCTTTTATTATTTTAATATTCAAATCACGTTGACTAATTTGTATTTTTTTTTCCTTCTATGATATGATTCGATTAATTACACGAAATTAATTGGGCATGATAGCTTCTAACAACCGTGATATTTAAGCTGCGATGCTATTAATTATTTTCACGAATGCATATTTTAGGTTGTTGTACCAATTGATTCTTGTTATTTATCATTGTAAAAGAAAAAAAAAACGTATAATTAATTTTATATTTATCATGCATACAAATTACATATTAAAAATCGGAATCAATTTCATCTTAAAACATTAATCCTATAACAATTTAATTGTTATTACGCACCAATCTACCTATTATCTGAATATTAATGACAGATAGAACACGTGAAGAGTCATTGATACTGTATATTAATGATTGAATTTATCAATCATCAATTGTTATTGATTAATTACAATATTTGACTTAGATAAGTTTTTCATTTTTTATTTCAATGTCGGGTTCATGAAGTGTATTGTGAACCACTGCACTAGATTAACAATTTAAAGAATTTAATTAAATTATAAAAAGTAAAATGGAAATTTATTTATTTTTTATATTTTTTATGACGTCTTATAGCGTTATATAACGATTATTTTTAGTATAAGTCATGAAATGCTGGAAGTGAGTGAAGCAGAAAAGCAAACTTCATTCATCTGTGGATAAGTAACGGCTCGTTTTAAGTCTATAAATTAAATAAATTATCTTTTTAAGAATTATCGTATTGTATAAAGTTAATAAGAAGAAGTTTTTTTTGAAATATTTTTTTGTAATTTATATCCTTAATAAGCAAACAAACATAAAAAGCAGTCATGCTTATACGCTCAAATGGCGACTTAAGTATCTGTACCAGTAGTGAAAACTGAAGAATGCATTATTCTTCGTAATTCATACTTATTAAAAGGCAGTTCGTCATCACCTAAGTATTTCGCCCACCCATACGTATTGCCTTTAGGTTATGGTGGGTGTCACGTGGTTGCAGGGTCAGTGCACCATTTAACACTCCACCCCGAGGTTGTCGTAGGACTGTGAACCGAAACAGTAAAAATTATATCAAGGTTATAAGGAAAGATACTTTCAGAATGTTTACATAATTAAACCGGAAGATAATCGATTTTAGGAAGTGTTACTTCGAAAAAGAATGATCTGTTTTTCTATATCTTTGTGTCACTATTGTTAGTTAAGTAAGAAATCAATACTTTCTCTACAGGTCAGTCGGTGGCTAAGACTTCATCGAAGCATAACGATTCGTGTCTTAACAATGGGAGAAGTTCAATGTTCTACAATTACAGGTTGAATGATATAGTGAAATTATTTTATAACAATACGCACAGATCCTCTGTGAAATCAAAATCATGTGGAAAGTTGAGGTCACACACTTTCTATCGGTAACGAGCTTGTATCAACCAGTTTCTTCTTCAAATAAATGAAGTTTCCTATCTCTCTTGATAATGAAAAGATACCTGGATTGAAAGAATTCACTAGCATTTGTAGAGCATATATATAATATATTATTTCATTTGCGAGATAATCTGTTTACTTGCTTAAATGTGTGGAATCTAATTGATGATTGTAATAGCAAAACAATATATTTTTCATATTGAACTGAATTTAAGTTGGAATATAAAATATATAAACTTGAACTCTGAGTTACAGGATTCAATTTCTTCGACTTTTATCTACATATTTTCATTTAATTTCGCATTGTAAAAGAAGAAATGTGAAGAGAAAACAGTATTTTCAATCAATCTGTTCTAAAACTAGACAAGTTTAACGAACTTTTGGCAATCGTTGGTGCATTCACCACTTCCGCACCCAGCTGCCACTCATGAAGAAAAAAACAAGGTGGATCAACACATATTTCTGTTAGACCCATTATGGTGATGTTTTTGGAAATACCAAGCAATATTTTCTGTTATTTCTCTGACGTGATTGAGATTCGCTTGGTTAGTCAACTTCCTTAACTAAAAGATAGATTTAATTGAGCTCGGAGAAAGTTATGGCTCAGATAATTCGAATTTCACAAATAATAGTATTTTTGTCTCTTCCTGTCTAGCAACTTTCAAAAATTTCCAGTTATCATTTCATAACTTCATTTTTATCCTCATTGCACCAAACGGTTTGGGAACGAAGAGAGGAAATTTAGGTTGAAGCTTCCTTTTTGATATTACTTCCGAATGCTGTTATTTTTTACACCTCCCACCCTTCATGAAAAAAAAAAATTGTTGGAAATACATACGAATGCATTTCCTATGGATTTATATCCTCTCTATAATTTCGTACGACACATTCTTGTTTTGGTTGAAAGGTTGAAAGGTCTTTTTCTGTAATCTTCAATCCGCAAACTTTAATCAGACATGTTTAGGTAAGCACGCAATATCGTCATTCTGTCAATATAATTATTGTTATTTATTTTATACAAGTTTTTCTTATATTTTTTCGACAGTTGTGAAGGAAATTGTTACAGGATCTAGTTCGCAAGTTGAATGATTTCATATCCGGTATTTTCTCTTTACTATTTTTTTGTTTTTGAATGAAAAACAATCAAATATACTTTTCTTACGTATTCCACACAGTATTGATTGTGATGTATAAAATAGACTGTTTTTATGCAAGATTGCTCCACAGAACCATATTTAGATGCCGTTTCAACATCAACTCAACAGGAGTCTATGTATATATAGCTCAGTCGGGACATCGAATGATTCAAACAGGTTCTAAAACACTCCCATATGGGGAAGTGGAAGCATCAAACAATATTACCGGCGGGCGATACAACGAACCCTTGGATGGCGCCAATAGAAAAAGAAAAACCGGGTTTCTTCCATGTCAAAATATTTATAACACTCGCATTCACATTTTGTTTTAAGACAAGGTCGCATGTTGGCCTTTATGTCTTCTTAAAACTTGTTCATCATGCTTCGGTTAAAAAAAGAAAGAAAATATAATCAACATCGTGGTTAATAATAAATAGTTGAGCCATTAGTAAATAACCAAAGAAAAATCAGATTTTTATAGTGATAAGGAAGTATCAAACTGTAGATTTTACTGTATTCCACGCCTTGTTAGCAATTTCTATCCATTACCACTCCCTTTTATCTCAATAAAGATACATTCTCTACTCTCACGCCCTTTCAATGATATAGGAATTTTAGGAGAGTCTCGTTGAGGAAACTAACTTATGTCATTTAATGGTGTTTATTGAAACTCCTCACGTTTTGACTTGTTACTTACTTATTATAATTTCAATTTACGTAGATTTACTTTACAAACGATTTAATACGTACTACTTTAACCTTTACGAATAGAATCGTTTAACTCTTACAAGGATTTATTTCTGTCTTAAACTAAATATGGGTATACAGAGAAAGAGAAGAATGCATTTTAATAAAAATTAAAAGAAATATAATTGTATATCTTTACTAAATATTTGTAATGAAAAAAAAAAATCCTTTATGATAAGACCATCTGTTGGAGTACAATAACCTTTAAGTAAGGTAAAATGTTTTATTAATGTAATTTCTTCGTGACAGATTCTCCAATTATTTATTAGCATAAAGATAAAATTATGTTCGCTTCTTTACACAATTAATAAGAGACTAAAGATAGTTTTTAAAGAAAATTATCAAAAACAAGCTTTGTTTTGCATTTAAAAAGAGGAAAAAAGGTCCCATTCTACAACAATTCAGTACTGTTTTAAGTTTCCATTATGGCATTAAATATGCATGAATTAGAATAAATTTTTATTATTAATAAACAAGTCTTTATATGCAAATTATAAAAATTTTTTTTTTTTTTTTTTTTTAAAGTCTTCGTTTTTTTTTCCAGCTTGCAGCAAGGGATACATAACGTTTGAACTAATTACAGGTTACGTATATACGGCACCGTCTGACACTCTTGAATTATTACCAGGAACTCTTCAGTTAACCGAATGTTTAAGTCAGTGTCGAAAAAATACCAGTTGTCAATCAGTAAATTTCGAAACTGGTCTTTGCGTATTGTTCAGTTCGAGTGCCGTACAACACCCATCTGCTCTTACTGCTTCTCAGTTTCCAGTTTTTACCGTTTATGCACATAAAATTTGTTTGTTCGGTAAGTTATTATTATATTTTAATAATATATTTTATTACAAGAATACTTTATGAACATTTGTTATACTCGAACTTCCAATAACGGCCATTTTTTTCAGGATCGTTTCCTTTTGAAATTTTTAATACAGGAATTTAATTTTAAAATATTTAAATGTTTTAAATTAATTTAAAACACATTTAACGTTATATTTTCAACAATATTTATAATAATATATTAGTATTTTTCATTTCATCGTGCTGCCATCTGTCGTTATATTAATAAACTTTTAATGGATTTAGATACTGTATTTACCAAAATGAAAAATTAAAATTTCCATAAATAACATTTATTATATAATATTATCATTAAAATAGATTTAGCTAAATTACGAAGTAAATAATACGAATTAAGAACCTTTTATTGTTGATTTAATTAAAATTTTATATAAAGCAACGATGAAATAAAATAATTTATATTTTTATAATTATATTTATGTGTCAAAGATTCGGTTTAATGAGCATCTCCGGTTGATCCAAGTTAGCTTACCTCCTTCTATAATATATCAAAGACAAACCTGTTTAGGTTAAACCGGAGAAAATCCAGATTTAACGCATGTTTCGGTGTTAACTACTAAGACCTAAAACACAGTTCGACCACACACGCTCTTCAAATCAAATTAATAAGATCGAAACATAAAAAAGACAGTTCTTATCTTCAGAACAGACTTCGATTTTTATCTCTAAGTATTCCCAAAGTCAGTAAATAATTAATCTCGTCATTCGTTATCGATCAAGTCTTCAACTATAAGATCTTCATTGTTAATATCATTCTCACGATCTTTTAAGAAGATTTTCTCACGTAAATTTAGGGATTAAGACATTAGTTTTCTTCTATCAGATGAAAAATTTATTCATTTTTCATGTTTATCCCCAATATTCGTATCGATAATCCAATGTTAGATCGAAGGTATAAGTAATTATTTTAAGATCGAGTTTAAAATTGCCGACACAAGAAAATTGCTGGAAGGTAAAACGAACAGTTTCTGAACTCGAAATGATCAAAAAAGGTTATTCATACGATGCCCTTGGCCTTCCTAACCCAGTCCAACTAAAGACTATCAAACCAGTCATCTCAATTTTCTCTCGTTAGACATCACGTTGTGTGATGGAACATCTAGGTCATTGTAAATTGTACCTGTCACGTACAAATGCTACGGGAGATATTTTGAATCTCTTGTAATTCACAGTGCAACTCTTTAGTTCGGTGGTATGGCCTCGAGCACAAATGTCTAATCATCATCTTTGTCATTGTTTCGTGGATTCTTCTTTGTTCTTTCACCTTTTTTTAATTGATGTTTTCTAAGAAACTATTTACAATCCTCAAACATTTATTTTTACGTAAACGATTATCAAATATGAACAGATTTTACTATCTATGTTTGATAATCAAGTATGTATAATGGACATTATTTTCGAAAGAAATCATAAATTTATCTCATTGGCACGTATGTAATGTATATACATAGTTATTATCTATATATTCTATATATTAATTAAAAGAAGATTTCTGTTTGTCCGACTTAGTTTGAATAAACGGCTGGGGCTAAAAATACGGTTCGGATATCAAATTAAAGTTCTTAACCTCTAGATGATGCCGCCGAAGAGAGATTTGAGAAAGGTTCAATGGTTTACGCGTGGCGAAGTAAAAAAGGTACAATGTTAAGTCTATGGAACAAATGTGTCGGGGTCCATTCCCCTGTTAACTTTAGCCCAAGCAATTTTTTTTTGTGTTTTGCAGTTTCATTATTGTAAATACTGAGGCCAATAAATGTACATCTTAGTTACAAAGATTATTGTTTTCATTAAGTCAACTTTACCAATTTCCAAATTCACCTCGAAAGACCTAGCAACACCGGGCACATGCCGCTGGTAATTATTAATTTTAATAAATTATTTCTCATAGGTTGATCGTTTGAGATTATCAGGTATAAATATTTATCTAATTAATAATAAACATTATTAAACCGGAGAAAATCCAGATTTAACTATTATATTATTAAATCCAGATTTAATAATATAATATTTTTCGAAATACTACAAAATAATGCTTCATACATGTTTAATCAAAAACGAATTTTTACTGAAGAATATGTAATCCATCTCTGATAAAAATCTACGGTATATACAATGAATCTTACTAGAATAAATTTTTATTTACATATAATCTATCTAGTAAATGTACAACAGATTATGGTAATATTTTGATAAGAGTATCTAAGGGGAAAGGCCGAGAAGTGAAAATTATATAGTAGATAATGAAAAAGATATCAGCGTACCTACGAGTGAATAAAAAAGAAACACACAGTATCCTTGTGAAATTCTTTACTTTATTGTTTTAAAGAAGAAATGCATTTTGAAATTTAACAAAAAATTCTCACGTAATTCACGATACTAAATGTCTTTATTCAAGAAATAAATAAAAAGGACATTTTGCTTAAGCGTTGAAAGACAATCAAATTCGAACGTTTGTTTGTGTTTGAATGATTTAAATTATTTACGGTGTAAATAAAACGAAATATTTGTAATATTATTTCCCTTTTTTCTTACAATATTTTAAAGGATATATTTTTTTGCAGATCGCTTAAGTGTTGCGTTGTCTTATCCTACACTTCTTTCATCTTGATTTGTAATTCCTCTCTGAGACTAAGATGGCTGAAGCTGTGGTTCTTCTTCGGCATTGTACAGTACATCTTATTCGTTTTCTACAATGCATTTATTTGAATTTCTTTCCATTTTACCAATATGTACTAAAATTTTGTTTTTGTTTTTGGTTTTTCTCATGGTAAGATATATATTTTAATACTTCTGACCTCTATCTATTTTCACCTCTGTCCTTATCATTACAACTTAATTTGTACAATATTTAAGGTTGCAATAATGGTAACTTGTAAGGTAACTTAAAAGGATGATTTTTGTATAATTTCAATAACTTATATGTTCTGCTATCAGCAAAGAGCGTGGGGATGGTCAGAAACACAACTATCTGGTATTAAGTCAGTTGATGGGAAACTTAATTTTTATGTTGAATAACCACTATTACTCATAGAATTCTGAATAATTTCTATTCATTTATTGCGGTCGCGGAAGAAGAATATGTCTTTACATGAGACACAAATGCTGCATCAATAAAGTTGCTAAGTTATTAGGATCTTTCAAAGTAAAGAATGATGGTAAGTTATTTTTATGATATACACTAAATTGAAGTAAGTAATGATCAGAGGAAGAGGCAGGCGAAATAAGCGGAAAATTTTGACAAAATCTACGGGCTAAGTTAGCCAATAATTGCAGAAATTTCGTACAAAATAAACTCGTAAAACAGAATTATTTCGCATGGGTTAGAGATAGACACTGGTCTTTTATTGTCTATTTTCTATTGTAATCAATGACTGCGTTCAGAAGACTCAATGATTTTAACAGGGCGACGATATAGTAGCGATAATATTACATAATGGCAACGAATCCGATGAACAATAAATTACGCGTTAATGCGAGAGGATCATGGCGCTTACAAGACCTGTTAGTTTCCAAAAACATTCCACAAAGTAAATTATACTGTATTCACTTTAAAGTTATGTTTTGCATATACTATATCTGTTTTAGTCGATAATAACTGTTTTTGAATGGATTAATACTGTAATGTATGCTTTCATATCCGTACATAATATATACGTCGCATGTTATGCATCTTTAATCAGTTATAATTACCCGAAAGTAGCGTAAATGAAATTCGAAAATATCAAATACGTAAAATTTGAGTTCTGTGGTTTTAAAATTCCCATGTTCTTTTGTTTAAGGTCTTAGAAAAACCTGAAATTCCATGCATTGCTATCATAAACAAGTAAACACCATCGGTGGAAGGAAAGTTCTCCACGTAATTCGCCCCTCTCTCTGGTTATGATATTTATACGTTATAAATACAGCAATTTAAATAAATGAAAATATAATACCGAATTTTTTTTTATTTATTTATAACTTTCCTCATTTCAGGGTCCTCTTAGTCCTGGAGTGCCTGTGCGCTCGTTGCACCTGCCTCTAAGTTCGCTTATATACTATCGAAAGACAGGTGCTTTTCGATAGTATATAAGCGAAATTACTTTTATGTCTCGAATAAAAGTATTTAGTAACGTGGATTATGTGAAAGTATTCTTCCTTTCTTTCGGTTAAACTTCTAGATAAAAAAGAAAGTTAATTTAGCACACGCATTTTATAATTTAATCTACTCCAGGATGATAAAAGAATATAAATCATTGAGCTACAGTGAAACATTCGATACATGCTAAATAAGTAAGGTAGATTCCAATCTCCTTGTAATCTGTGGAATGAAGCAGGTGTTTTCTTTTTTTTATAATGTTATTTTGATATACAATAAATATTTTTAAACAAGGTGTTAAAATAATTTTTTATGTGAGAAGTTCAAGAAACCAATAAACTCTTGTAGTTAAATACAAAAAAAAAAGAAAAAGGAAAAGTATTGTTAATGAATTAGATATTTGGTTCAAAAACTTTTAAATTTTCTTCTAGTAGTCTACATATGTGTAAATTGTATTGGACACACCTTTACATTGTTCGCAAACTACCTAGCTTTTACTACTCTTTTTTAAGTCAGGAAACCCACTTAATTGGTACCTTTTTTTCCATCTTTTTTAAAACCAAGCAACTAAAAACAGTGTAAAAATAATTATACCTTGTAAAAACGTTTTCTTATTTATTTTATCTTTATTGTAGAAGCTACAAACAATTTAAAAAATTTATTATTATTATTATTTTAATGCATATTTTTCAACATGATTATCTTTTACATTATTTTTAAAATTAAGAACATTTTTTTTATCATTATTATTTTATTCAACGAGCCGCAGCATTTCGAGTTAAGACTGGTTTCCGATCCCTGTTCTAATTAAACGATTTTTTTTTTGATAAAAATATAATATTAAATTATATAAATACAAATGAAAAAGAACTTCTTATAATATAAACGTTAATGCATATAATACAATTCCCGTAGGTAATTTTCTTCATTAAGAAGAAGTGTGTAACCAGAAGCAGGATTTCCTGGATTAAATACGACGTAATAATAGCTTGTATTATTATTATTATTATTACTTGGTATATTTAAAACTGTGTTTTGTTTCCATGGCTAACCTTTAATTGTTTTGTTAGATTTTTAACTTAACTACAAGCGGCCGCAAATACAATATAACTGTAATTATTTCAATTCCGATCACAAATTACTTTTCTTATAATAGTTGCGGATTGTGTTTTTTTTTTTCCTTTATAAATTCTATACAATAGCCATTTAGTTAATGATCTGAGCCGTTAAGCTAACAGATATAATGATACTGTACTTACAATTATATTTTACTATACAGTATTCTTTATTGAGATGACTGAGTTTGCCATTAATAGTAAATATTTATCACAGTTAAAATATTTCTACAGAATATTATCAGTTATAATTATAAAACTCGTGGATTTATAATGATTTCTGCTTAAATGCATGAATCTATTCATCCGTTTAATATTATAATAAGATAACAAATTATTCAATTATCCTTCGAAGTGTTTTTCAATCTTTTCTATATATGTAAATCTATTTTCTTTTACGTTCCGGATCTAGTTATGTATTTTAAAACTCATTATTAATCTCACTGACTGTAGATATTAACATCATTTTTGTGTTAGAACCGGATCTAAAAAGAAAGGGGGGGGGGCAAAAGAAAAAAAAATGTAGAAGATAAATGAAAAAAGAAAAAACTCTTGATGATAAAATTATTGTTATTTCTATGATAATATTATCAATTACTAAACGAACATTATGTTATTAACATGGGGGCATTAATTATTTTTTGAAAATTTTTGATATTGGAGGTTTGACTTCTTGTCTTTTGCATCCGGTCGAATTTGATAACCATGATTACTGCATTCTTATTATTATTAACTATGGTGTTTTTATTGTAAAACGTGGACATAATCACATTTAACATTAGATCAAATGTAATTGATATTAAGAGGAAAAGTTACTATAGAATGACAACCAGAACAATAATAGTTCTTTTTTTTTTTTCTTGTGGATCAAATTCAGAAGCATGCTATCCAAATTACAATTCTCAAAATGACATACAAAAGAGAAAAAGAATAAATAGAAAAATTGATTTAATTTCTCACGTTTTTTTTATAGAAGAAATAGCGAAGTTGCGGCCGAAGTTTTCATCTGTAAAACGTGAACGTCGAACGTCGAGCGCCGTTTACAAGATAGCGGCGCTTGACGTTTGACGTTCACGTTTTACAGATGAAAACTTCGGCCGCAAATCTCTCTAATATTTATTAAAATTTTGTAAATCTTTACGAACTTTTCATCGTACTCATATTAATTACAAGATTGGAAATAGTGAAGGTTTTCTCGACATTAAATAAGTCATTTCATTATTTAAGAAATGTTAACGTGTGATATTTCGTATTTAATGTATATTTTCCGTGCAAACGAAACACAATTTTTCTCAATTTTTAGATACCATAAATGGAAAATTCAGTATTAATGAGTTATCAGATAATGTTTTTCTTTTTCCTTCGGCTGTTCCTGTTTATCAGTGCCAGTGAACTTTTCCTTCGATCAGATATGTATCTATTAAGTTCTTATCGAGATGAAGATTATTTTGTATTCCACGCTAGCCACAAGTTAGATAAGCGATTTGTTTTTATACGAAGCAGCTTGTGAACCATCTGTCGTGTAATAACCATTCAAATTATCTATATTTTATTCGTAATATATGTAAAAGAATTAATTATTTATCAAATATGCTTCTTTAAAAGTGAGAAAAAAAATCTTTTTAGTAAAGTGTGATATAGATTTTACCCTCGATATAGTAATTAAGTGATAATTTTTATCGAAAATATGTTTATTTTCAATTAAAGCATCATTCCATGAGAATTATGTAGGCTTAATTGATGTATCTGGAAAATAATCGTTGTCATCTTACAAAATAATCCTGTTTTTTTAACACTTTAAGAATTAGATTTAATAAATAATTAAATTAAGCTTATTAGGAGCAAAAAAATATTTTACAAACAGCAATTTTTTAATTAGTTACAACCACTTCTCTGGTGTCAGGCGTGGGAATTAATGGGAGTATAAATGTTACCCAGTTTTTCTTTTGTTCTAGTTAGCATTGTGGGGGGGGGGGAGCGTGTCACTGACCCGGTGCTGGACATCACGCGATGTCACGTTATAAAAGCATCACTCTGGTGTGTGAACTCTAGGAATTTCGAAACCATTATCTTGGATAGTTATTTGTGATTCTGTCTTGATTGCCACAATCTTGTACGTATTAACGAAAAAGGATATATACGTACGGTAAATAATCGGCCATGATAATCACGGGCCACCATTTTTATCAAAAATGGCTACTTATTTTGCGGAGATGTTCTTGCTTAAATTACCAATGGTGCATAGTTAACAGGGATTTTTACTTCCAAGTGAAGTAACTTTGATTATCTACAAGCTATTGCCAAGTGGCTTAGCTACACGTAGCATGTTCCCTCCCAGAAATATCATTATATTGGCCACCCTATATTTACGCGAGAGAGGGCAATGCTGTAATTTTCCGGCATATAACATATATTTTTGTAGAACCGAACGAAACGACTATTTCAAAAATATCTAGGAACAATAATTTTTTTATTTTCCAATTTTTAGCTTGAACTAATCTTTTTTTAATGTATTTTTTTTTTTTCAGGTAGCCAAACTTGTAAAAGGGACTGGATGTTCGAGCGTGTAACTGGCTATCAACTTATTGAAAAACCTCGGAAAAAAGTTCGCTTGGGTTCTTTAGAAGCTTGCATGGAAGTTTGTTTAGCTGAAAGAGAATTTTTGTGCAGATCCGCAAATTATGATACTCTAACGGGTGACTGTTATACCAGCGATGTCGATCGCCATACAGTAACTGGACCGGGTCATTTCGCAGCTACCGTTCCCACTATGGAATATATCGAAAGTAATTGTGTCGATGGTAAATATATTTTATTAATAAAAAAAAAACAATTCAATATTTTATCAAAAATAATACCGTTTATTAATAAAAAAAAAAAAACACAGATTTCTACGTTGAACCATCCTAGACAGTGCACGAATTTTTAAAGATGAAGAAGAAAGAAATAATAATAAAATTCTATATTGAATACATCGGTTGGCTAGTTCCTAGGCATTTTTCTATTCATCGTTACATTTTTATTATATCTTTCGCTACACCTTACTGAAAATTAATTTAAATTTTTAAATGAAATGCCGACTTTGTAAAGAAAGTACCAATTGAAATGGATTCGTCTTGTTCTGGTAGATTCTCCAGAGAGAATTTTGATGAGGTCATCACGTTGTTTTGTACGACAATAACCTCTATTTTATGAAAATTGCATACAGACCTAACTTTTTTTTTTTTAAGACAGTAATTTATTTGATAGACGTACGGGATTAATAATTACTTGTGAATTATAACCACCCATGTAGCTTCCAATTTCATTACTTCTATAACCAGTCTATTCTCCGAACTTTACGTAGATTATATATGTATATAGGCCTATAATTAGAGAAATTTATAATTTAATCTAAACCCATTTCTATTAATATTTTAAAATTAATATTATTTGTAATAAAATTATTATTTGCTATTATTAATATGTAGAAATTCCTGATGAAATTTAAATCAACCAACCGTAAATGCAACACCGGAAAGTAAAGATTTGACAATTGTCTGAATCGGTTTTTTAAGTCGTAAAGAGAATGAAAATAAGGGTCATTGGGGACTTTTCGTTCTCAATGACCTTGACCCCATGACCGTGACCGGATCATTCTTCTTTGAACAATACGTGAACGTAACGAATCGATCTTTCGTGTAGTTTCTTTGTTTTTCTTATTTAAAAAGCATTTCGTGACGTTATTTTTTTTTCCTTCTGTGACCGTCTTTGAGAAGTTAAAAGTTACGAAATTTGTGGACAATTTTCTAAACTTATTTGAATGCCAATAAATAATATAAATAAGGATTTAAAAAAATGAAATATATCTCAATCAAAAACGTAGTATTAAATCCGTAGGTAAATGTTGATTATAGAGATAACGTCACGAATTCCGTCACGTTACATCAAGTCAAAGTTCTGGATGAATTCTGAAGGATAACGAAACCCAGAATTATAATGGGATTATTATGCGTTATTACTTGATAATCTCGTTTGAGCAATTCGTTGCAGTTACGTGCCAAGCTAATAGGATTTTCTTACCATCATTTAATGTGTCTTATCCTCCATCTCACCTCTAACACTTTATTATCTATCTGAAGTCTCTAGGGAAAATATTTTTGTAAAGTTTTCATTTTACTTTCAGTTTTACTTATAGTTTTTTAACTAGTTCAACCTGTTGCTCGTTTAGTTTGGTTTTTAAAACGTAGTCAAATAACTGATGTTTTTGATAAAAATTATTTACATAACTAAAGATATTCTTTAAGAATATTATAGCTATAATTTTCTTTTCTTTTTTTATAGATCCTATCAGACTATGCGAGTTTCGTAAAATCCCTGGTAAAATACTGAAAACTGTGGATGCCGTCTATCAAGATGTCAAGACTTTAGAGGAATGCAGACGAAGGTGCTTGACTGTCAATCATCGCTGTCATTCATTTGATTTCGGCGATCCTGCCAACAGTGTCTGTCGCATCAGTCATCATGCATCAGCCACTCTTTCTCACATACACGACCCTTATCTAGAAATTCCTGGAGCTTCTACATTTGAATTGACCTCTTGTTACAATGGTGAGGATTGTCGGCGTGCATAATACTTAATTAGATATTAAATACAGTCAAAATATTAAAAAAAAAAAGTTAATTTAAGCAAATATTTTTCTTCTGATGTTAATAGAAATTGAAAAAAAAAATTCGAGTTATTCTTATAAATTATTCTACGAATTTTAACTGAAAAAAAAACTAATAGTAAAAAAGATTTCCGTTTTGATTATCTACTACTGGATGGAAGCCAGCTAGAAAACAAAGAGCCCCATTCCCACCCTTTAATTAAGTCTAATTTTTGCGCGAACTTCAAAGAGTAGCCAAGTATCGTGTCACTCCACTCATTCACACGTTTTCTCTCATTGATCTTGTTATGTCTCGTTTCAGTGACCATCCACTGTAAAGCTAAAGAAATGGTGGCCACGGTCCAGACTAGCAAACTATTCAATGGAAAAGTTTACGTAAAAAGTCGACCGAATTCTTGCGTCACGGACGTCATTAACAGTTTGAATTTCGAAATTAAAATGTCTTATCATGATTTAAATTGTGATGTTAAGCAGAAGGTAATTATTATTATTATTTTTAAATTTATTGATTAGGCTATATCAAATTTGAAAAATCTATGTAACAGCTTAATAATATTAGAAGTTTGCAAATTAATTTTCTTCTAAATATTCTAAACAGAATTTTAGAATATAAATAATTAGTACTGTTATATTATTTGCTTATTTGCATAATAGAAATAATGCCAAAAGGAAAGGAAAAAAACCTCTCTCAATTTTAACAATTTCAACTAAGATTTTCTAATAATTATATGTGTTTTATAGAGAAGAGTCAATAAAATTATGTATTAAAAGATATTAATAATTCTTCTTTAAACATAAAACATAATTTACATAGGCAGAAAACTTACAATTATAATAAATTAGCTTATTATACTGTATTTATAATTATATTGTAAATGTAAGTTTTATGTCTATGTAAATTGTCTATTTATGTGAAAAAAAAATTATAATATTGTGTAGAATTTTCCTTATTCGTTTTTGTGACGTTTTGACAACAAGATATGAAGATTTCTTAAAACCAAATGCAAATTTACATATGGACGTCTGAATTGGTTGTTGATTTTCTTTTGTTAACGATAGGAATGCTGCCACTCATGAAGAAAA